TTAATAATGGCTGCGTTTTAACATTGGGCTTGCAAGCTTCATGAAAATTTAACGATCAGCTCTGACAGCAAGTACAAGACTACAGACTCCGGCTGCCAGCACTGGAAACGAAATACTCTAAGGACAACGGGATAGAGTAACTAATGAAAAGGGGTGGGAGTGCTCTCGAGATTGAATGGCTGGGGAAGTCCTCTCTGGGGAGGAGAGCTTTGTGCTGGGACCTCAATAAAAAAAGTAGCAGCGGCTGCCCGCCTGGTGATGTGGTGTCTTGTAGCACGTTGTAAGGAGTCGAGATTTCTCATTCAGAGTCTAACAGGAAGCCATAGTTTGGGTGACGGGTGCGCCAGCGATCCCCCACCCCCAGCCTCCTTTGCATTCTGTGGTCTCACTGCAAGACTTCACCAGGCCAGTGGCTTAGGATACAACCTACTTGTGATGGTTGCCAAGCCTACATGTTTAGACCAGCCCTTCCTCTTTGCTCGGCTCCCATATTTCTAACTCTATTCGGATGTCTCCCAAGCCCCTTGTGATGGATCTGGTCCATAACATAATAATCCACAAATTAAAAATCATTAACTTTGCCCTAGCTGGTTTGGCGCAGTGGACAGAGCGTCGGCCTGCGGACTGAAGGGTCCCAGGTTCGATTCCAGTCAAGGGCACATGCCAGGGTTGTGGGCTCGATCCCCAGTAGGGGGTGTGCAGGAGGCAGCCGATCGATGATTCTCTCTTATCATTGATGTTTCTCTCTCTCCCTTCCTCTCTGAAATCAATAAAAAAATATATTTTAAAAAAATCATTAATTTTGCCTCCCCCATCTCAAACTGAACACAACCCCAATTACACCCTGACCAAACCTGCTCTGTCCGCATCTCCTATCTGCGAAAGGCATCTCATCCACCCAGTTGCCCAATCACAGAAACCAGGAGTCAACCTGAGTCTGCCTCCTCTTCCTTAGCCACCCCTTCAGCTGCCCTCCACACCCCACAGGCGGCCCATCGCCCTCTAACCACACTCACTGCCACTGCCGACTCGGGCTGTCTTCCCTTCTCTCTCCTGACCCATGTCCAGGATCCTGGCATCAAATTCCCTCCCCTGCCAGACTCTCTTTCTACAGTCTCCACTTGAGTGAAGGAGGAGAGGTTATTCATCCAGATAATCATGGCAGAAACCAAGCAGTTCTCTTAGACCTTCAACGTACTAATGTGATCCCCTTAAATGGTGCCCAGTAAAGTTCAGATTTTAGCAGTAAGGGTGGGTAAACACGACACATGAAATCCCTTTGGGAAATGTAGCCTGCCCCCTCTATTCTAGCCTTCCCTGACCCCTTGGTTCCCGATGTGTAGTGTTCTTACATGGATGCCTAGAGCAGGCTTCCTCTCCCTCATCTCCCTTCACATCTCAAAAACTCAGCGCAGGCGTCACCTTCTCTGGTCCCGACAGGTCAGGGGCTCCTTCTCTCACTCCCACAAGGCATTGTGCATGTTTCCACCACTGCCCTTGTTCCACTTCATTGCAACTGTTTGTTTACTTTCATGACTTCCTTTGAAGTCCTGAAAGGCGAGGGCTTGCTCTTTAACTTCTGTGTCTTGAACACTGAGAAGAATGACTAAGGACTGTTTGTTGCAATCAGCAATATCTCAAGTATCTCGAATACCACTCTCAGATTAGATAGCACATTGCACAAGCACAGGACAGGCCTGAAATAGGAATAGTAAGAAAAAGCTCAGGACATCATGAGAGGAAAACTATGTAATCACAAGACATGTGCAGCGTCCGTCCGAGGAGAAAGCTCATATACAACTGCCTAATCGTTTACATGAAAAGTTGAGAAGTCTTATCAGTAAAGAACCACTGGTGAATGGGGAAGTAAAGGACCAACTCTCTCCTGTAATATAGGAAACTAGAGGCCCAGTGCACCAATTTGTGCATGGGTTGGGTCCGATGGGGTGGAGGGGCCGATCAAGGGCTGGGCCAGCCAGGAGCAGGGGCTGCGGGCAGTTGGCCGGCTGAACACCCGGTTGAACTCCTGGTCGAGGGGACAATTCGCATATTAGGCTTTTATTATATAGGAGAATTGTACTCAAGTCACAAGCCAGTTAGGACTGAAAAAGGGACCTACGCCTGTCAGAGCCACACCGAAACCCTCTTTCTACATTCCTTAGGGACTCCCACAGGGGCAGCAGTTAGAGGTCAAATATTCCCACCACACACCCGTCGGGTGGGAAGGCCACGAGGAGGGCCGTTACAGTGACGAGCCTGGGAGAAGTGGACCCGCTACCAGCAACGAAGAGCTCCTAGCTCCGCCACAAAACGGGCATTTCCTCTCGTTCCAAAGAATACTGATCTCCCAACCGGAAGGCAGCCACATACACATACATACCCTCTTTTGTTTGTTTGTTTATCTTGCTTTTTTCTGTTTTCCCTGTTTGACCTTCTCAAACAAATTAACATTATATTTAAGTCAGACCGACACTAACTGCTAGGACAAGCATGGTGGCAAACCTTTTAAATGCCCTCTTTTATTTCCTCCTAAAGTAGATAAAAATTAATCTATTGTTTAAAATAAAAAACAATCCGTTACACCAGGATTATGCAACCCCGAGCGCTACAGAGCTCTCGTGACAATGGTGAGTGACCAGTAAACGTTTTGTTGGCATAAAAAGACCTGTTAAAATCAGGAGACAGAGAGAGGTGTTGGGGGGTGGGGGGGGAGAGGCGAGTTGGAGAAAGGCTGGGTGGCAAAGGGACTTGTGGGAAAAGTACAATGACAAATACAGGCAATTAAAACCTCCAGAAGTTCCAAATCTTCCTAGATTTGTTCTAATCAACAGAATGAATTGACCAACAAAATAAGACCCGAAGCAGGGAAGACATGGGACCGACTGACATACCTCGATGTGGGGTTGGGGGGACGAGAAGAGAGAAACCAGAGAACTTATATACTTAAGGGCACAGCCCATGGATCCGGGCAAGAAATAGGGTGGTGAAGACCTGGGGGGGTGCGGAGGGGGGGAGGCTGGGAGGAGAGGAGGAATGAAGGGGAAAATAAGAGGTATCTGTAATACTAGCAACAATAAAAAATATATTAAAACCCAGCCGGCCTGGCCCAGTCGACCTATGAACCAGGAGGTCAGGGTTCGATTCTCAGTTGGGCTGGGTTGCGGGCTCCATCCCCAGCGTGGGGCGTGCAGGAGGCAGCCGATCCATGTTTCTCTCTCCCTCTCCCTTCCTCTCTGAAATCAATAAAAATGTAAACACACACACACACACACACACACACGTGTGCCTGTATTTAAAAAAAAAAAAAAAAGA